CCAGTATTCCGGTCCACTGCGATCTGCAAAAATAGTGCTTGCAGCATTATGCTAATGTGCCTGCATTCTGGGTGTAGACGATCGCAACCGTGGGCGGGGGGCGTGGCTGCGGTGCCATTTACTTCAATGCACCACCACGCCCCCTCCCGCCCCTAAACGCAGGGACCCGGCCGGCTTGCGTTCCAGTGCATTCCAGAGGCCGAAAGATGTCTGGAACTGGGTGCTGCTATTAAAATCAAAACGGGGTCCAGCATCTCACCTACAAGGAAATATTAATGAACTTTAATTAAAGTAACATCCAAATGAATTGCAGGATCCAAGATTTCCCAGCAGAACCTTGCCCGAAGCATCACACTGCCTTCACCGGCTTGTCTTCTACCCATAGTGCATCCTGGTGCCATCTCTTCCCCAGGTAAGTGACACACACATAAGGACAACCACATTATGCAAAAGAAAACGTGATTCATCACACCAGGCCACCTTATTCCATTGCACTGTGGTCCAGTTCTGATGCTCACGTGCCCATTGTAGGTGCTTTTCGTGGTGGACATGGGTCAGCATGGGCACCCTGACCGGTCTGCGGCAACACAGGCCCATGCACAACAAACTATGCTGTACTATGTGTTCAGATACCTTTCTATCAGAACCAGCATCAACTTTTTCAGCAATTTGAGCACTGCAGACCAGAAACATCCCACAAGAGCTGCAGTTTTGGAGTTGCTCTGACCCCGTCGAGATAGTCAGTCAATGGTCACTTCACCTCTCAGTTCTCATAATATTATGGCTGATCGGTATTAGATATAAATAACTGCCCCATCAGAAAATTTAGGGGGAAAACCTTTCACTTTAAGATCATCACAAAAACACAAGAGCGCTCCTTACGACAAGAAGAGTAGAGCGTAAAGCGGACCTTTACCCCTTTTCACTAAAAATCACATCAGTATGCAGCTCTGCATGCTGATTTAAAATAATCTTCCATTCATTAGTTAAACTAACATGTTTTTCTATCTACTTCCTGGTCCAGTTCTGGCACAAATGATGTATTGTGCCAAAGTGTTGTATCCGGGGAAGATTACATCAGCAGAACATTGCTGGGAAATCTCATCTGTAATCTCCTGAGATCTCAGGGAAAAGGCATTTTCCTCCCCTGAGATGATGTGCATGGTCACATGTCCTAGTCACATGTGCCAGATTTTCAGGAAGTAAAGGGAGTTTTTTAAAGGACTATTTGGAGCTCCTGGGATTTGTACATCTCTATTTTAATGAATGTTTTAAAAAATAAAAAACATTATATATATAGATCTAGATATATATATAATGCACCGATACCCTTTTTGCAAGTACAAGTACTGATACTTGTCAAAGTACTCACAGATAAAAGTACAGATACATTTTTGTTTATTGTCATGTGACAGTTTTTCTAAACCAATATAGACTAATGATTTCAGGATAGTGTATGCTGGGACTTTACAACTCCTTTAATGAACATTACAATTCCGTGTAGTACAGAAAATGCCTACACAGTGTGTATACATTACAAAAAATATAAAATATGGGCAGTGTCTGCAGGATGATTTCTGCTTAATATCAGCTGGAATGTGCTGGAGTAAAGTGTGAAGAACATTATACAAATGCAATTTGTGGGTGATTTCATCAGAAAACTATGTGTCAGGTTTACCCTGTAAGGATTCTCTACATACCTGGGTGCATTATATTCAGACTATTTTACAACATTAGAACATTTATCATCTCTGATGTGGAAAAGAGTGGAGAATACTCTGCTCTGGTCACACATGAAGCAGTTTGATAGAACATTCTATTATCTGGCAGGATCACAGGCATGACACTGTGCACATGGAAAGCCCTGCTATGACCTTACCCTAAATTGCTTATAGCTGTTTTTACACTCAGTGTGACATCTTTCCTTAACAATACACGGGGGTGATTTATCAATTGTGACGCACAGCAAGTCCGAGCAAACAGGGAAAATGACAAAGATTAAACAGTAAGCAGACAGGTTTTGTACATGTTTTCTTTATTTGCTACATTCATGACTAAATAAATTTCATTTTTTTAGGTCAATTTTAATGATAGCACATTATACTTCTATCCAGCCCACAAATGAAGCTCTGACCTACTTTGCATATATCCAGCATTTTATTATTCCGATTACACTATTCAATCTTCTGTCCAGCCTAAGGTTACATTTGTCCCTGTCTGCTGGGGACAGCCCCTGTTTTGAGGGGTTTATCCCCAGCATCCCTGTGTATATCCCTGGCTGTCTGGTACGGTGCCGAGACATCCCGGGCCCTGGCATCATGACTGCCCCTTCTTTCTTTTTGCAGCACTCCAGTGCCATTCACACTGCAGCTGCCTCAGACCTTTCATACAGTGGCAGTATCTGAGTTTACAGAGCTGAGCAAAGCTCCCCTAAGCTCCTCCTAAGCTCTAATGCGTGTTATTTCACTCCTTATAGTGCCCAGGGCAATTTGTCTTTACATCTTCAATGTTTGCTTCCTCTTCTAGAAGTCCAAATGGTTTTAGAGCATGCTAAAAATGGGAGTGTGATTTTGTGGGTGTGGCTACAAAGGGGGTATGGTTTATGGGTGTGATTAAAAGTGGGTGTGGTCAGTAGGGGGCCCCCCGGTTTTCATTTTGAAAATTTGGTAACCTTCGTTCAGCCAGCAAATGGAGCTCTAGTCTCCTTTTCACATGTAAAGCATTTCATTATTCTATAAGCCTACTGTTTACAGAACTCATCATGTGTCATCAAAGCAGTAAATCATATCTTATCAGATAGGCAAATCCCAGGTTTTCAATCAGACAGACAGAGCTTCAAAGCGAACTGTGCCTGCTGGGCTGCCTATTTAACTAAGGCATAGTGCTCTTTTTTTTAAAGAAAGCTTATTTTCCTCTAGTGAAAATGGTGCCGAGAGCCTCTTAGCAGCCGCACAAGAGCTTTTGAAGCTTGTGCTCTCTGCTAAATTTTCTATGAAGCTTGTAGTAGTCAGGGTAAGCTCAGAGCTCTTTATGTCTGATTATTTAATCAGAAATCACAGCTTGCAATCTCTTCTTTGAGCTGATAAACCATGATCATCTCAGTGTGCAAGTCAATGGGAAATTGTGTTCATCCTGCTGGACATTTAATGTTTTGGAGGGAAGATCCTCTTGCATGACACGATGATGGGCATATCATTACAGGTAAAAGCACGCATATCACATTCCTCCCCCCCCCCCCAAAAAAAAACCCCCAAAACACAACATCTTCATATATAAAATGCAGGACAATTTTTAAATCTGAGCTGTATGTTATTATAAAACTGCATAAAAGTAGTGGTGATACTACCAATATCGCAGAACACTGGTTGTCAATTTACAAGGTAGAGGGGCCTAAAATGTGGCCCCTGATATCTCTAAAAGGGTCACATATAAGATTTATTATATTTAATGGTACAGAAGCCTGTCATAGCCTTGAGACTTGATAGAGAAAATAGTCAAAGACTGTTCTACAGGAGTGGATGGAGACTTAAATCACGTTGTAGGAGACTGACGTAGGACTAGGGACATGTTACACGACACTGCTAAAGATTATTATTAAAAGCTCCTTTGCAAATCACTTCTCCCACTACTGACAACTGGGGCATGAGAGCAAACACCAAAGGGCCGCATCTGGCCCTTAGCTCACAGACTGGGCACCAGGGCTCTAAAGGAATTTTATCACCAATACAGATTTTTTTTTAATTAGGTGACTATACAGAACTCCAGATAACATTTAGTACAGGAGTAGGCAGCCTTGGCACGAATTGTGGTGAAAGTACAAAACCCAACATGCATTTTTCTCTGGGAGCCATGCCTGTGGCAGTTAGGGTCTTGGAATACCTCTTGGGACTTGTAGTTCCATAACAGCTGAAGTGCCATAGTTGCCTACACTTGATTTGGCCTCACGTGACACTTTATTTCCATCATTTCTTCTGCATAGCTTTACTCTTGCAATCCCTGGCTTCCATAGTAAAGCTTCAGCACATTTAGGGTGTGTGTGGTCTTTTGTTCACTTCAGAACTGCTTTACTCTCTATACAAGTTAAAATGAATGCAAACAAAGCGTGAAGCAGGTTAGGAGGATGTCACCTGCACGTTAAATGCACCTATGATCGTAAATGATCATAAATTCAAGCACCATGATGCTTATACTAAAGTAGGCTATACACTGTGCAAATTCATCAAACACCGGCTGAAATTTGCACAGTAAGTGGCACCCTTCCGCCCGGCATCCTTTGATCAGCTGTTCGAAGGAGCAAGTTGGAAAATCTTCAGCCAAATGGAGCTTGCAAAATAGCAGGGGATTCCTCCATCTGCTTTCATAAGTGTTAATGGAGAAATCTGTTATACTGCTGGCTAAAAGAAGAAAATATAACTGTGCAGGGACATAACTACAGATCACGGGGCCCCATAGCAAAAATGTGATGGAGGGCCCCTTTGATCATATCTCTCTGAGATGTGATTAATGATGCTAAAATCCCGAAAACTCCTCTTGTGCATCTTTACACTGTAGACTTTACAGGGGATTAGCGTTGTTGTCAAATGCAACCACGCCAACCAGTACTGTAATATCTTTGCATGCTCTATGTTTAATTTGCCTCAACAACCTAATGGGGCCCCCCCTTCCATCCTCAGGCCCCATAGCAACCACCTGGGCTGCTATGGCTATAGTTACACCGCTGTAACTGTGTATACCCAGCTTTAGAGTGCTGGGGGTAGTAGAGAGGGATAGAGTGGAACCTAGTAGGTTTTTCTATTGCAAACAGGTTAGTTGATGCCATTCAGCCAACAGGAGCTCAAACCAGCCCATAAAGAGCCCTCAGGTTAATGCCAGACTTTCTTGACAGCCAGCCATGGACTGTTACAATGGTAATGCTCCTTTAAACATACTATTTAATAACCTGGTTTTCCCAAAACTGACAATGCACCACGGTAATAAATAATTCAGATTAAAAAAAATACCTTAAAATGTGCTTGTGAAAATAATTCTTCCAAGGAGTTTGGTGTGGAAGGATGTACATCTTCAGGACTGATTTTAAAAACAGTCTCCAAACACTGTACTGCAACTAAACAAAGACAAAAGGGTAAATATCAGAAATACAGCCCAGCACAGATTGGTTATTTTAGTCAATTTGTATGCTGTTAGCTTTTACATACTTCTGTACCATTGTGAAATGTGCATTATGTTGTGATCTGATACTGTCAGAATGCATTCTCTTGCTAACAAATTTGTTGGCAATGTCAAATAAACACCGCTTCTCCATGCATCAAGGTCCATCAACTTTGGGAGAGATATCAGGTGCCTGCCAAAGGTCGGCATGGTTGGAGTTCAATGAAGAAGATAGATAAACAGATAGATACATAAACACTGACTATATCAGTGTGCGGCTTCTTGGGATCCGGGGACTGCTGTAGAAACCCATTACATTATCTGGTTGTTTCTAGGTCACAAATGTAACTGGCCAGTAACAACAGATGTTCCATGTCATCAGCTGGCAGGCCTACTATGGCTTTATCAGTAGAATTAGCAACCATGCATGCCCCATATTTGATCACTCCATGCTGTATTTCCCTGTTATCTTCCAATGACCAGTTAAAGTTTATGTAAGGGCACTTTTTTTGTTTTGGATAGAGTAAGGAAGAGTTAGAGTTATTAAAAGCTCCATGATTTATTTTCTAAATATTAAATATTTATTATACAGGATTTATATATCGCCAACAGATTGTGCAGCACTTTACAAAATGGGAGAGACAGTACAGTTACAATCCAATTTACAATACAAGTTTCGGTACAATAGGTTTAAAAGGGCCCTGCTCGTGAGTGCTTACAATCTAGTAGGAGGGGCAAGTGACACAAAAGGTAATAATTGTTTAGTTTGAGTTAGTGGAAGAAGTAAAAAGGGCAGTTATGTTGAGGTGGGATAGGCTTCCCTGAAGAGATGAGTTTTTAAGGATCACCTAAAGGTGGGCAGAATAGAAGTGTGGCGGACAGATTGGGGTAAGGGGTTCCAGAGGATGGGAAACACTCTGGAGAAGTCTTGGAGTGAGCAAGGGAGGAGAGAGCTAGAGAGCTAGAGAGCAGGAAACCTTGAGATGAGCGGAGAGGACAGTTTGGGTGATACTTTGAGATGAGGTTGGAGATGTAGCTGGGGGCGGAGTTGTGGATGGCTTTGTATGTAGGTTATTAGTATTTTGAATATTCATTGGGCAATTGGGAGCCAGTGGAGGGATTGGCAGAGAGGAGCGGCAGACACTGAACAGTTACATAGTTACATAGTTACATAGTATATACATAGTATTTGAGGTTGAATAAAGACATTAGTCCATCAAGTCCAACCTATTAGGATCTCATTCTAGGAGTACCTGTACCCCTGTATATTACCGGTACCCCTGTATATTACGGTCCCTTAAGAAATCGTCCAAAAGTTTCTTGAACAATTCCACATTATTTGCTGAAATCACCGCCTGTGGCAGTGAGTTCCAGACCCTAACTGATCTTACTGTGAAGAACCCCCTTCGCCCCTTGTGCTGGAATTTTTTTTCCACCAATTTTAGGTGGTGGCCTCTAGTTTTTGTAACGGAGTTAATTTTAAACAGTTTATCGCTAATGTTGCTACCACCATTAAACATTTTGTACATGGAAATCATATCCCCCCTTAATCTCCTCACCTCTAATGTGAACATGTTTAAATTTAGTAGCCTCGTCTCGTAGCTCTGGTCCTCCATACCCCTAATTAGTTTGGTTGCCCTTCGCTGGACTTTTTCCAACTCAAGGACATCTTTTCTTAGTACTGGTGACCAGAACTGGACCGCGTACTCCAGATGAGGTCGAACCAATGATCTATAAAGTGGCAAAATTATAGACTTGTCCCTGCAATACATCCCCTTTTTAATACAGGACAAGACCCTGCTAGCTTTGTTTACAGCAGCCTGGCACTGCAAACTACCTTTCAGTTTGTGGTCTACAATGACCCCCAAATCCTTCTCCATTTCTGACTTCCCCAGCGGCATACCCATAATTGTATAACCCATTTGTTTATTTTTAATTCCAAAGTGCATTACTTTGCATTTATCGACATTAAACCTCACCTGCCACATTAATGCCCACTCCCCTATTTTATAAGGTGGATGAGTCTTCCAATTTTCTTCCAATGTGTGAGAATGCACATACATTTCTAGCTTTGTACCGTCTCAGGCTCCAGGTCCCAAAACATAATTTCCCAAAAACTCTGTGCAGGGGAGCGCGCACCCAGTATATGTCAAGTGCACATTGTAATAGGGACAGCGCAGGCATCAGCCGCTGTCAATCACTTGCTTGAAGGCAGAAAGAGGGATGAGCAGGGGAGTGGCTTTCTGCGGTTGGTTTCGCGGCTTTGTTTTCTGTGCACGCAAGCAGGGTAGGGAGAGACATACTTAGAGCCAGACGGGAGCGTGCACACAAAGGTGGTTCCACGGAACCCTGTAAGAGGAAGGAGCTACCTGAAAACAGGAACATGAGGGGGGGACATCATAGATGAAGCAAAGCAACCACAGCCTTGGAGAGAAAGACACACAGCAAACATGGTAGGTGCTGAGCTCTGTAGCATTATATGATTTTATAGCCGTGAGGGTTTAATAACACTTTAAGCTGGCCATTCACCAGTAGAATGTTACTAAAGAAATTTGGTTTTGGAACCATTTTCCGTTAGCTAATGGGGTTGAATCCATGATCAAATCTGACCATGGTGATGAAGAAAATAGAAAGAGCTAGACAAAAACTTTTTCTTGAGCAAACAAAATGCTAACAGTAAACACACACAGGGTTATTCACAAAAGGGTGAAGAGTTTGGAGCAGGCAGGAGAAGTGAACAATCTATCCCAAAATAGGCGATTTGGAAACATTCTCCAATTCAGCTCACTTTCCAGTTCAGCTATGTTGTCCTAGATTGTTCCCTTCTCCTGCCTTCTCCAAACACTTCACCCTTTTGTGAATAACCATGATAGTTTTTTAATTACAACAGCCGGTCGGGAAGCTACTCGTCCAGCACTGCCGTCCACTCGTCTGTGACGAGTGCATTTTTCGAGCCCTGCATATGACATTCTACACATGATGCAATTATTGAATGTTCTGATAAGATTTCTTGCATGCACATACAGTACGTACAAAAATCTACCAGAGTATACCCAGTTTTAGACCCTTTGCCAAGTTTTTAATTGTAGTCTGTGTCCTCATTGATGAAATTCCCCCTTCTGCTTGTCCTGGTGACTATTTTCACCCAGGCAGAAAGTGAGGGTAAAGCCTAATACTAAGAGGTCACATGAAAGCAAGATGTTAAAGTAAATCCTCCACGGTGACAAATGTTCTGATGACACCTGTCTAAGAAAAGAGAGGTCTGCTCACTTTGGGGAAATTTCCTCTCCTTTCTTTTGTTGTGTCTCTAAGACAAAAAGTGAAGGGGAATCTCCCCTGCAGGAAACAGACGGCCAAAATCATTCATTTTTAGTTTAAAGGCAAAAAGTAGTAAAAAAACAAACAAGATTGACAGGCAATAATCCTACTTTAGATGCTACATTCTTCATTCTGCTATATGTCCTGTTTATAATATCAAAATAGTGTTTCTATTAAAAAAATATTAATTAAAAGGAGAACTATGGGGCAACATTTTTTTCCATAGTTCTCCTCAGTATATAGCAAGCTATTGCCCGCTATATGCTGAGACCGCTGCTGCTAGGACGGATTCCAACAATACTGTCGAGATCCACCCAGCTGGCTGATTGACAGCGGGCTCTGCCTATCTAGAGGCAGAGCCAGCTATGCCTGCCTCCTGCCCCATCCATCCCTCCAGTCAGCACTGGAGGGTCGGAGAGGGGAGCGGTGACTTACAGTCATTGTTTTCTGCAGGGAGATGATTGGGAAGTGAACGAGTGGCGGTATGTGTTCGCTCACTTCCTGATCAACGAAGCCGGTGTGTGATAGTTTCAATGTAATACGTCAGCTCTAAATATGGGGATGAGTAATTCACTCACCCCATAGTTCTCCTTTTAATGTAAGGTTTTTTTATTGCATTTTTTTTTACCACTTATACTCCAAAGAACAAACAAGTGAAATAAAAGAAAATACAAAAGACATTTTTGTAAATAGTTAAAGATTTTTTTTTTAAAGAATTAGGCAAAAAAAAAAGCAACATAGGAGGTCGGTGGATGGACTCAATGTTACTGTTTCTTTTTTTTGTCAGAACTTTACTGAAATGTTACAAGTGACATTTCACTAAGTTCTATTGGCTCACCTCAGCGTCTCACTTCGGTGCGCTTAAAAAAGTACTGCATTGTGAACTGACCACCATTCATGACAAAGCAAATTGGCTTGTCTTGCGTTTGGGCTCTGCTGGCCATTTTATCCAGTGCAGCCCGAACACAACACAAGGCAATTGGTGTCAATGAGCCCCTAGATCAGAACCTTGGCTGTCAAACTGACAGCTGGTCCCAGCAGCTAAACTCAGGGACGTGTGCTCAGCTAGAAAGGACTCTAGGGCATACTGGTATGTCCTAGGCCCTTAACTGGTTAAAGCCCTTTAACCAAAATATTTTTTTAATGTTTGTATAGAACAGGAACTTTACCACACAGGAACACAGACAGTAATAAAAACATTGTTTTATTACAGTGAGGAAGAGTTATACTTGCCATGTTTTTGATGCTGACTATGTCTCTGAGAGTTGCCCTATCAGGTAATGAACGTCAGACAAAACAGGGCAAACCCCCCCCCCCCCC